TAGCGGACCCCAAGGCCAAGTCCAGGGTGGGTGCCCATCTCTGCTTGAGTCTCCAGCCCCATCATTTCTCCTTCCAGTCATCCTACAAATTCCGGTCACATTGAAAGTCCCTTCCTTTCTGACCCCACGAAGCTAAGCCATGTGTCCGGGCTCTGAGCCTCAAGACACTCAGCACAGGGGCGCTCAACTCCCAGGACAGGAACTTCATGTTTAACCTGCTCTCCACCAGATCCTCAGCCTCTGGCATCTTACCCAGCACACAGTAGGTCCCCAAAGCATTAGCACAGATGATCCCAGGAAGCTGAGGGAGAGGCCCAGGAGCCCAACAGCCTTCCTAGGGAGGAAGGGAGACCGGTAGGAGCCCACTTCAGGCAACTTTCTTAATCACTCTGCCTCACTTATCTGTAAAATGAGGCTCATCTGCGTGTAAAGTACAAAGTATAATACATGGGAACAGTCACAAGATCCGTCATCTTCATAGCACCTATTATGATCTGAAATTAAATTATTTATTGAGTTACTTGTTTTCTGATTTATCTTCCCCTTCTAAAATGTAAGCTCCTGACTACCATCTCCACAATGTCCAGAATAATGACCGAATGAATGCATATTTATCAAAAGAATGAATATTACCTGTGACATTTCAACCCCCACCCCCCACTTTGTTTTTTTTTTTTTTGGAGTCTTGGGAATCTACTGTCCTGGTTCTCTGCTCAGTCCCCTTTTTGAACCGGCGAATGGGCGAATTCCCATGGCTCCAATCACCATCCAACTCTACAACAGTGCCCAGCCTAGGGTGGAGGGGGCCTTTGCTCCCCAACCCCAGCCGCTATGCTCCTCCACCCACAACCTCCACCCCCCCNGTCTTGCTCTGTCGCCCAAGTTGGAGTGATCTTGACTCACTGCAACCTCTGCCTCCTGGGTTCCAGTGAGTCTCCTGCCTCAGCCTCCTGAGTAGCTGGGACTACAGGCACATGCCACCACACCTGGCTAATTTTTATTTTTTAGTAGAAATGGAGTTTCACCATATTGGCCAGGCTGGTCTTGAACTCCTGACCTTGTGATCCGCCCACCTCAGCCTCCCAAAGTGCTGGGATTACAGGTGTGAGCCACTACCCCTGGCTGATATTTCACCCCATTTTAGGCTGTTACTTTCCTCTTTATTCACTAACCCTCAAAAATTGGGCTAAAAATCCTCAGTCTACAACTGTGGCTCTGGTTGTTCATTTTACAGGTGGGAACATGGTGGCCTATGGAGTACCTGCCAGGCCCACAGTCCACAGGTTGGAGAGGCAACCAGGCCCTGGACTTTAAGCTTGGGCTCTGACCTTCAATGTTTGCTTTTCACACTACACATCATGTCAATAAATAGTTACTGGACGCCTCTTGAGTGCCAGACCCGAGACGGTGGTTGCATGACTTGACAACAAAAAAGCTTCTTAGTTGGGAGGATAAGTTAGATGATGAGCATTAGTGTAAAATCGCCCAGGGCTCAAATTCCAGCTTCTCCACTTCCTGGCTATGATATTGCTAAGTTTCCTAACCTCTCTAAGGTTCTTTTCTCTTCTATTAAAAGGGAAAAATAAGACCTCCCATCAGGAGAGGTGAAACTAGGCATTGGCTTAACATGTGATGGATGGGAGCCGTGACTGTCTTCATCATCTTATTTTTAATGATCTATCTGTGCACATGGTAGTAAATTTCTCTAAATTTCTCACCCTGGCCCAGGTACCCAGCACCCCTGTTCTCCTGTCCCAGGCAACCACAATTAACAACTTCTTGTGCATCTTGTCAGACAGCTGGCGTGCACACCCGCAGATACCCCCACCCTCATGCGTCCTTCTGGGCAAACGATAGCACCCATCAACGCTGTTTTTCCGTTCCTTCCTTTTTTCATCTAAGGTATCTTAGAAATCACTCTATATTAGTGCATATTGAACATTTTCCGTCTTAAAGAGCTACACAACATTCCATTGCATGGATTATTTTTTAATTTGGTTGCCGTTACTGTTATCAGCCAGGGAATTTGAGAGGACCCACAGGGATCCATGGAGCTGCAGAGCTGGAGTCCGGGGATCCAGTTCCAACCCCAGATCTGCCCAGAATTCGCTGTTGCCTCGAGTGTCATCTCCACTGGCGCGATCGTGGGAGGGGGATTTGGGTGCAGGGAGGACCAGCCCCAGTGTCCGAGCGCGGATCAGCGAGCAGCACGCACAGGTGACTCCCGCGGGCGGCTCAATCATTCTGCTCAGCCACTCCTTTATAATAGCAGCACCAAATTCATTAAGCACTCTGGCACAACCAAGATCGGAACCGTTAGCAGGCCCTCTCAGCCTCTACACCCAACCTCCGGGCAGCGACGCTCCGACACAGCTACTTACCCCCGCCTGGGACGTTTCACCTCTTGTTCCCAAGTACACTCGGTAGGTTGCAGCAGTCCCTGTCCCTTTAAGGGGGTCGAGTCCGGGCTCCGCTACTTCCGCCCCGAAGTAACAGGGCGCTGGCGTAGGGGTGAGAACGGGTGAAGGCTCAGAGAGATTCCCCTCATAAACATGGCGACGCCCTGGCCGCCGCGTTCGCGCCCGGCGGTGACGTCACTTCCGGGGCGGAGGAGCCTGAGTGGTGCAGTGAGGGACAAACAAAAGGAGGCGCCGGAGCAGCGCTGCGGCCGGCGGCGGGACTAAGCGGCCGGGGCCTAGGGCTGCCTGCTGGGCGGCCGGGCGCGGCGAGTCCAGGTGAGTGGATGGGGTGGGGACAGGGGCGCGAGCTGTCACCTCTCGAAACCCACTCACACACTCCCCCGGCCAGTTGCCCGGCCCCGGGCGCCCGGGGCATCTGGGGCTCTGTCTCGGGGCCGGCCCCCTGGGGGCCTCCCGCGGTGTTCGACCTAACTCCGGACTTCCCCGTGCCCGGGGTCTCCGGGGCCCCACCCTCTCCCCGGCTCCGCGGCGCGCGAGCCCCCTCCCAGGCACCCCCGTGCCTCCTTGTGCTCCAGAAACTAGGAGTTTCCGCCTCGGCTCCCCTGTGTCCCCTTGTCATCCCCTGGGTCCCCCCAAATCCTCACCCCTCCACACACACTCTCCCCTTCCTAGAGGTTCCACCTCTGGGTTCTCTCCTTGCCATTTCTTTTTCAAAGATTTCCGTAGCTGTCTTCTCGCAGAGTTCCTGGCCCCCCCTTGCACCCCTCCTTCGTCTTGTTCCGGTGGGGACAGTGCCCTGACTTGGGGGCAAGATCCCCGGTTTGGCCCTTGGGGTCTGTCTGGGATGGGATATCTCGGAAGAGTGGTCCGGAATCTAAGACCCCAGACCCTGTCCCAGTCCTGAGCATCCAGGTTGGCCCGAGGGCCAGATCCAGTGAGGTTTGGGCCTGGTCCAGCCCTAGGTGAGCTGGAGACTCAGCAAACTGGGCTCCCAGGCTGAAGGGACATAGCTGGGGCTCTTGGAGTTCATGATGATTCTGCTGCTTTCGCCGACTGCTTCTTCCTCTAGATCTGGACTGGAGTGAACCGAGGTCTGCCGGTTCTCAGCTGATAAGGATTGTTGCCTTTTTTGGGAAGGAGAGCTGGGTCAGGGGTTATCTGGTAGCCGCCTCCTGATGGAGACTTGGCTGGAAGGGTGGGTGGTTCCTGGGTGAGCCACAATTCCACTGACTCCTCTTCCCCTGTCCTACCTCAGGAAGCCTTTTGAAAATGAGGTGTGGAGGGGGAGCACCTGGTGACAGGAAGGGAATTGGGGGAGCCCCAAGTTCCCAAGGGCCTCTTCTACCTCTTCTGTTAGTACTCTTAACCCCTGTCAAACTGTATTCTGCCCTTTGGAGCAGACTAACTGGCAGACAGACAGACTGGAGGAAGAGGGAGGAGATCGGCTGTTGCTGATACTTCCTGTGGAGGGGAAGGGGCACTGGGAGTTTGTTCAGAGCAACTGGGCAGTGCTGATTGCTCAGTCTCACTGATGTTGCTTCCATGAAGGTCAGGTCTTCCTCTGGCTCATGAAGGGAGGCAAGGACAGATGATGACTTGTGCTGGAGTACCGGCTATTGTGGACATGCCAGGGATGAGTGACTGGTCTCTGCTTCCTTGTTTTCCTGGTCTCAGGGCTTCTTTGGATGGGGTCTGATGCTCCCCACCTTCTAGGGACCATGGGGTACAGAGCAGGGGGTGCAGGAAAGGTTTGTGACTTCCCCCGAGAACTTGACTAGATGAGGTGATTCTCCATCCCTTAGGCACACCACTAGGAAGCTATTTCCTTTGCAAACTTTGAGTGGCCTTTCTGGACTTCAGAGGGTCCTGGGGATCACTCCCGTGGGTCAGAACTCAGGCAAGTGGCCAGACCTTGGGTTGCTGCCTGGCTTGGCCTGGACCTTGCCTATAGGAGCTGGAGGGAAATCAGCCTGGTTCCTGACTTCCTCCCCTTAGAGTAGAGGTAATTCCAGGTTTTCACATGGAGAAACTGAGGCACACACTGATGGGCCAAGACCTCTTGAGGATTCAGGTAGGATGGACGTAGGGCTCTAGAGCCCAACACACTATCCTTCCATGCCTTGACTCATTCATTCATTCATTCAGCCATCCTTTAAAAAGTGCCCATCTTGGGCCTGGAGTGGCTGGGAAAACATAGCCCCGGCCTTCTGAGAACTGCAATCTGGGAGGAGAGGCATACCGGAAGACACATAAGTTCTGATACACTGTGGCCACCATTACAGAGGCAGCCCAGAGGAAGAAGGAATTAGCTCTGGGTGGTTATGTAGGTGATGGTTGGGGTATGCTTCCTGGAAGAGGAGGGACTAGAATTATCAGTGACAGACAGTCCAGGGGCTCAAGTTCTGGACCTGGCTCTGCCATGGGCAGGTGATTGGACTGCTGAGCCTCAGTGGGTGCCCTATCCTTGACACGGAGGGTAGAGTGAGGTAGAGATTGGCTTGGATGGCCTCTGTGCCTAGATAGCTGTAGGTGCTTTACTGCCTAGTCACCACTACCTTGTGTAGAATTGAGGGGTTATCGACCTACCTCTAGCGGTGGCAGAGACCATCTTCCACGTCTGTCCTCCCAGCACAGGGCTTGGAACTCAGTCAGTGTAGTAAAGACCCAATGGTAGAAATGATGGAAACACAGCTATCCCTCCTAGATCGGTCCAGGTGTCTTTGTGTACCCCTGCCATCCTCCTTCCTGGTTAACTCCTGCCAATCCTTTGGCTCTCTCCGGTGGCTGAGCCACTCTCCCGGCTCCTGGCTCCTGATACTTATGTTGTAGTGATCACACCTCTCTCTCCACCTTGACACTCCCACTCACAGTTCTGCACAGAGTGCCTGGCACGTACGGAGTCGGTGCTCGTTGGTGGCTGGCTGACTGTCAGAGATGATGGGTGGATTTGATGTTTGAGTTGGAATCTGGGCAGAGGCTGGACTCTGCTTGTCCCAGCCACCCCACTGTGGCTCATCTCTTGCCACTTCCCCCCTCTGGCTCTGGATCTAGCCATGCCAAGCCCCAAAGCCTTCTCCGGATGCCATGACCTCTCTCCTCCAGGTAAACGTGTGCTGTTTCTCCTGCCTGGAATGCTTTTTCCAGCTCCTACTCTTAGGAGTCCACTCAGACAACTCCTCCTCCAGAAAGCCTTCTCTGACCCTGCTAGTCTGGATCTAGTGCTTCTCCTGGCTTCCCTACAGCAGAGCCCTGAGCTGTCAGACTGTCGCTGTTGACTTGGCACCTCCTCAGTAGACCAGGTTCTGGAGGGAGGTGCTCTGTCAGAACCTTTTTTTGCTTCCTGGGCGCAGTGGCTCACACCTGTAATCCCAGCACTTCGGGAGGCCGAGGCAGGCAGATTGCTGGAGGTCAGGAGTTTGAGAGCAGCCTGGCCAATGTGGTGAAACCCCGTCTCTACTAAAAAGAAAAAAAGTAGCTGGGCCTGGTGGTGCATGCCTGAAATCCCATCTACTCGGAAGGCTGAGGCAGGAGAATCACTTGGACCCAGGAGACTGAGGTTGCAGTGAATTAAGGTTGCACCACTGCACTCCAGCCTGTGACTCTTGTCTCAAAAAAATCCTCTTTTGTCACCCCAGAGCCCAGCCAAGGGCCTGGTACCAAGCAGGCTCTCAGCAGGTGCTGGCAGCGCAGCAGGTAACTGCGACAGTCACACATGTGCCTACTGACAGCAGCTCTCGCTTCCTTGCAGGGAGGCAGCGTCCATGGAGCAAAAGGAATGCCAGGACCCTGCCCAGGCCGACGCAGGCCAGCCTCAGCACCAACAGCCGACGCGCAGATAGCAGAGCCGTCCCTGGGGTAAGGACTGGGCCCCCCTCCATCTAGGCCAGCTCTAGCTCCGGTCAAGTGCCCTTCCCAGCCTGGGGAGCAAAGGGCAACATCTCCATTCCCACAGTCCTTTGCTGTTCTTGCTGTAGGTACAGGGCAGAGGGGCAGACAGCAGAATTACCCTCTTTCTCCTTCTCCCGCTGAGCAATGCCTGCTTGCTGCACTCACTGAATGCTGAGTTGTTTCATCGCAAACCTCTGTTTTGTCTCCTTCACCCCATGTCTTATCAGTCCGGGTTGCTAATGCAGCCTCATGACCACATTTCCCAAAAAGTGTGGACCATGTTTCCCAAGTGTGTTCTGTGAGACACCAGTTTCTTTGGTCACAGAGGTTTGGTAATTCTGGGAAACAAAGACTTCTTGTTATCCTTGCCACAGGACTTATCAGAGCCTTGAATGGATTGAGCTGACCATGATAACGGAACTAGCGAGTCATGTTTCTCCACTTATTTGAACATATAGACATCTTTGGGGACTGGGATTTCTTGGCCTGTGCTTTGGAAAACAGTTCCCAGAGGCAGGAGAGCGCACTGATTACGAACTGCCGTCGGACCTGGGTTTGAGTTTTGGCTGTCATGTGTTTGCTGAGTGACTGTGGGCCAGTCCTTGTACCTCTCTGAGTCTTGGTTTCCTCATTCTTTTTTTTTTTTTTTTTGAGATAGAGTCTCGCTTTGTTACCTGGGCTGGAGTGCAGTGGCGTGATATTGGTTCATTGCCACCTCTGCCTCCTGGATTCAAGTGTTTCTCCTGCCTCAGCCTCCCAAGTAGCAGGGACGACAGTGCCCACCACCACGCCTGGCTAATTTTTGTATTTTTAGTAGAAACGGCATTTCACCATAGTGGCCAGGCTGGTCTCAAACTCCCGACCTCAGGTGATCCACCCACCTTAGCTTCCCAAAGTGTTGGGATTACAGGTATGAGCCACCGCGACCGGCCAGTTTCCTCATTCTATAAAAAAGATAATCTTGGCTGGGCATGGTGGTGCACGCCTGTAAACCAAGGCAGGCGAATCACCTGAGGTAGGGAGTTGGAGACCAGCCTGACCAACATGGAGAAACCCCAGCTCTACTAAAAATACAAAATTAGCCAGGCATGGTGGTGCATGCCTGTATTCCCAGCTACTCAGGAGGCCGAGGCAGGAGAATCACTTAAACCAGGGAGGCGGAGGTTGTGGTGAGCCAAGATGGCATCACTGCACTCCAGCCTGGGCAGCAAGAGTAAAACTCAGTCTCAAAAAAAAAAAAAAGTTAATCTTACCACTTACCTCCCTTTAGGACATTTGGAGGATTAAATATGTTGACGTAGAGCAGGTGTTTGGCAGAGCGCATGTCCTAGAAGGCAGTCCCCAGTCCTGGGTGGTGTGTGTATAGACAGCTGTATAATTTGTAAAACACTCAGGTCAGTGATCTCATTTGACCATTCGAGGATGCTTCGGCAGTGGCCATTATCCCTAGTTTACAGATGTGGAAACTGAGGATCAGAGTGGGGAAACAACTTGCCCAGACTCATCTGTAAAGAAAGCAAGGACATTCGGCTTGACTCCAGACTCTGGAATCCTGGGCCAGGGTCCTTTGTTCTCTGCCCTGAGTCCTCCCTGCCTTTGCCTCTCCCCTCAGTTTTTTTGTGAGAAGGAAGGCCTGAGTCTCCCAGCCTGGATTTTAAAAGAAATAGACATTTTTTTTTGTAATTACCAACATAGTTGCATATTCATCATATGTTTTTATACTTTTGGATATTTCTGGGGGACAGGGTCTCACTCTGTTGCCCAGGCTGGAGTGCACTGGCACCATCATGGCTCATTGCAGGATCTTCGAGGCTTCAGCGATCCTCCTGCCTCAGCCTCCCAAGTAGCTGGGACTACAGGCGTGCACCACTGCACCTAGCTAATATTTATTTATTTATTTACTGTAGAGATTGAGCCTCTCTACATTACCCAGGCTGGTCTCAAACTCCTGGGCTCATGAGATCCTCCTACCTGAGCCTCCCAAAGCGCTGGGATTACTGGTGTGAGCCACCATGCCAGGCCTGTTTGGCTTTTTAATGTTACATAGGAAATGAGTCTCCCCTGATATCCATCTTCAGAGGTGTGAATGGGAAGGGGTACATTCTTCCACGTCTGTTATTACCATTTGCTTATTTTTATAAAAATCTGGTCATGTTTGAGTTGCTGATTCTCAGCTTGCTTTTGTTTCATTTAACGATATCCCCTAGATCTCTTTCCCATGCAAGAAGTAGAGAGAGCTGTTGTGTGGTCCTGGCAGAATGTGCACCCTTGAGCCCCCGGGCCCCTCCCCATCACATGCTGGGTGTTTTGAGCTGTTTGGCCATTTACAGCCGCGGAGGGAGGTGGGAAATGCCTGGTGTGTGATTGTGTCGACTCTCCTGTTTATGGGATAAGGTCAGCCAACTCCTGGCTCTGCCCTGTAGGAGTTTCCTGTTGGTTTTGAGGAACTCTGTCCCCTGGAGAGGGGAGGCCTGAGCTGTAGTCCTTCATGCTGGGCAGCACTGAGCAGGAAGCAGCAGGTCCTGCTTGTCAGATCATAATTCCTCTTCTTTGTTAGGGTTGGTGTGGAGTGAACCACAGGGGCTGGCCTGAGGGGCTTTGGCCTCCACCTGCCATCTGGGTTTGGGACACACACACGAATTGAGCTGAGTCAAATTGAGTTTGAGCCATTGTGTTCTCCTGAGTTCAGACCTTCCTGATCCCTCAGGAACAAACAGACCCTAACTCAGTTACCCTTGCTGTACCTGGAGGAAGCCTTGGTTGTGGTCCTTTTGGAATGCTCCTTTCAAGTTTTACCCCTGACAGTGGTGAGGAGCAGGAGGACGGCCCACCCTGCCCCCTGGGTCCAAAGATGCCCTTTTGGAACATAGCTGAAGGGTTTGGGCAAGGCGACTGTACAGGCATGGCAGCCTTGTTTTGCAGGGCTGCTAAAGCATCTGGCATGATCGCGCTGGGAGCGAGGTCTGTGCTGGAGCTCCTGACGTGTCACCTGTGCTTTTCAGGTACACTGTCCTGTCGCTCTCCCTCCCCCATGTCACTTCCTCTGTTCTTTCCCGGAAGTCTCTTTTCTCTCCCACATGCCACATGAGAGCCATGGAGCCAGCCCCTCCGCAGATGGTGCCCTGCTCCCCTTCTCAGTAGCACCTTCACAGCCCGTGGTCATCCTCCGCGCCATGTCTCAATGCCAGGTGGTGTGCTGGGACACTGAACACATTTGCCCATCTTACCTTCGCCACAGCCTTGTGTGTGAGATCACTTTACCATTTTTCAGACCAAGGCCCAGAGGGACGAAGTCTCTGGCCCAGTTATACAATGTACATGTGGCAAAGCTAGGACTTGAACCCAGGTTGGTATTGCTTGGCAGCCAGGGCTCTTTCTACTTCACCCTCTGTTGCTTCCTTTTCTCAAGTTCCCAGGCTTCTGGGGGCCCTCAGAGTCACCTGGGAGCTTGTTTAAAATGCTGTTCCCCTGGGCCCACCACTACAGACCTGCAGAGTCTGCCCTGGAAGGTTGGGCCCAGGAATCTGCACTGTGAAGAAGCTTCCCCAGCAGTTGTGAGGCTTGTGGGCTACAAACCACGCTAAGAAACACTGACCAGAGGCCACTCTTTTGCCTTAGTCCCCGTCGTCTCCTGCAGAACTCATGTCCTCAGTGTGGAAGCAGGGCTGAGCTCCCCACAGGATGGGGGCTGGACAGTTGCTTTTTACTGGCTTCACTGTGTGTGAGTATGTATGTGTGTGTGTGTGTGTGTATGTGTGTGAGTGTGTGTGTGAGTATGTGTGTTGGGAAGGCGAGGGGCTTAACCTTCTTCCTTAAGGACGTGCGGGGCTGAGGTTTCTAGAAGGGCTTTTACTCCCAGCCACAAATGTTCCCTGCTGTCTTCCAGATGCGCTTCTATTGCGTCTTGCATCTCGCAGCAAGTTCGTCTACATCTAAACGTCTCTTGAGGGCTTAAAACCTCAAAATTAAATTGCTTGCTGCAATCTAAGCCTCACGCCTAGAGCGACGTTCCACCAGAGTAAAAGTGGCTGTAAAATTCCACGGCTTTCACATGCCACCTAGGTGCCCTCAGAGTGCAGCTGCCAAACCCACGCCCTCTGACGGGCAGTATGACAAATGCATTGACCAGCAGCGGGGGCGGCGAGCGGGAATCCCGGCCCTGTAGGAACACCTCGAATCCCCCAGCTGGCTCCATGGGTCAGGATCCCTGGGGACAGCCCCCTTCCAGCCCAGAGAGTGGGGCACCGGTCAGCTCACCCTCTGTCAGACCCCTCAGTCCCCCTGGCCTGCCTAGGGCATGGCCAGTGCCCAGTCCCCTGGGATCTCAGCAGAAGATGCGTCTGCTGCCTCTCTGGGCTGCTGTTGGCCACGTTTCATAACCTGTCTAGGAAGGCAGTGCTGGTGTTCATAACAGGTTAAGACCTGCAAACCGTGTGTAGCTCTGACTCCGTGTGTAAATATGAGTGTTTGTTAGCTGGACGAGACAGTTCCCACCTGTAATCCCAGCACTTTGGGAGGTGGAGGTGGGAGGATTGCTCAAGCCCAGGAGTTTGAGACTACCCTTGGCAACATAGCGATCTGTCTGTACAAAAATTTTAAAAAGTGGCCAGGCACAGTGGCTCATGGCCGTAATCCCAGCACTTTGGGAGGCTGAAGCGTGTGGATCACAAGATCAGGAGATCAAGACCATTCTGGCTAACATGGTGAAACCCCATCTCTACTTTAAAAAAAAAACAGAAAATTAGCCGGGTGTGGTGGCATGTGCCTGTAGTCCCAGCTACTTGGGAGGCTGAGGCAGGAGAATCACTTGAACCTGGGAGGTGGAAGTTACAGTGAGCGGAGATTGTGTCACTGCACTCTAGCCTAGGTGACAGAGTGAGACTCTTATCTCAAAAAAAAAAAAAAAAAAAAAATTAGTCTGGGTGCAGTGGCTCACACCTGTAATCCCAGCACCTTGGGAGGCCAAG